AAGAGTCTTTCAACTTTTCTACGAAGAATTTACTAACAACAAGGTATATTGACCCAACCAGACAGATTGTATAAAAGACATTCAATAGAATTATTTACTTTCAATTTCATAAAACACATGGGATAATTACATATAATATCTCTTTACGCTCACCGTATACATAGTTTAAAAAAAACATGTTCTGGGGCATAAAACAAAATAACTTTACAGTGACCCACTAACGCCAAACCAATTTGTATAAAAATGGTCACGTGACAAAACGTGAGCTACTGTCATTCCCATGCACATACATCTCTTGATCTTACAACAATTGTAACTGTTTCAATGTCTTAGTCCTAAAAAAAACAGCCAGATATTTGCTAAAAAAACTGCATTTGTTTCATAGTTCATTGTTGTTTCTCGTCAGTAGCTTTCTTTATCTGTCAACCTGAAACATTGCTTGTTTCGCTGTATCTAGGTCCCAATATTTAGTTTCTCGGAAAATTAACAAAATTTAAAATAACACAAAAGTGTAACTTAGAAAGAAAGAAAAAAGAAAAAGAAAGAACGAAAGACTACGTATTTCAGTAGTGTGTGTGCGGACAGCCTTTTAAAGAAATCGTTATCACTCAATACAGACTATACTGCTCTCTGCGCGGCGTCTAGTCAAGTCAAAGTCAAAAATCATTTATTCATATAGGTAACACAATGTACACCTACAAACGTCAAAAGAAATATACATTAAATGCTTCTAATTTTACATTTACTGCCAGTTCTCAAATCAAGGGCGTAGAATGGAAAAGAAGAACTTGCAATAAACTCTCCACCACTCTTTTTAATCGCCAAGTTTTTTGTTTTAGAGGGATGTAAATCAAATTTTCTCACATACGTCAATTATTAGTCTTTCACATTTACGGTAAAAAGACGTCCTACATTAAGATATTTCCTCCCTTATCTACAAAGAAAAATTCATTAAAAAAATAGCTACAACGGTGTTTATTGGTCAAACAACCATCATGGTCGCCGCCATCTTGATTTTAGTCATCGCAAGCCTTTTATCACACATTTGAATATTATGTAACTAATTCTTCTGTTAAAACATGATAATATATGGCTATGTGTCACTCTATGTTTTATGGCCCGCTTTCATGACCACGTTTTGGCGGGAACGGGGAATGACAATGTACCTAATGGTGTACTTAAAGTGATTTTATAAATATGTAGTTAATAGTTAGGTAACAGTTTTATTGCGTTTATTTGTGAAAAACTTACATTAATTTAAACCCTGTTTCAAGGTAATGTTTGAAAAAACTAACGTTTCGCTTTACATTTTTTTACACGTCACGGAAAATAAAAAAAATATATCTTTATTAAACATAAAATATATTCACTTATTTGAGTTGAAATCGAAGAATGAACGCAAAAAGTCACCCGGCCGTCGGCGAGCAGGCATGTAACCTTTAAAATTCTACCCTTTTTGTCACAGTAATTCTCGATCGTTTTGAATTTTTAAACAGCTATGATGTAGGTTGATTAACGTATCCAATTATTAAAGAACCTGAACTATTTTGCCTCATAATATATTATTGCTTGGTAATTGGAAACAAATTGGTTGTATTGAATTTTGTCGGACTAACAAATGTATAGCTGAGAGAGAGATTTTGAGATAGAATGAGCGAAAATCTGCTTTTGCCTATACTGTTAAAATTATTTATTACTACACACAAAGATACAGTATTTACTAAGAATATTATAAATAACATACATAGTAATAATTAAAAATAATAAATAGAAAAATAAAACAAATTTAAAAAGGTTTTATTATATAAATTCGCTAGTTGCAATAACTTCATAGAATAATTTAAGGTCGTAGCTCTGGTTTAAAAATTTACTTTTCTTTATTGATTACAGAAATGCTTAATCTAGTAATTCTCTGCGCACAGATGATATCTTTATTATTTTATTTTTTTAAACAAACACGTCATAAACATCAGTTTTGACAACCAAACAGTTACGTTTTTCTATAGGCCTTCACCAGCTTCTTCTTCTTGATACCTGAACTCCTACATGCCATTATGTAACCAGAGAGACAACTGAGAAAAAGACAAATGGTTTTTTTAAATATATACAAATGGTGCTATAGCCATTTAGGTTTGAACCTCAGATTTCTGAATCTGTTCCCTGATCATTTCTAATAGGCAAGTAGGCGATCAACTTTCTGTACCGTCAACTTTTCGGTTTAAGTCACGTCGGCTTCCTCACGATGTTTTCCTTCACTGTACGAGCGAGTGTTAAATGCGCACATAGCCACAAAGTCCATTGGTGTACAGCCAGGGATAGAAGCTACGACCCCAGGGATGAGAGTCGCTAGGCCACTAGGCCAAGACTCCTCTGAATCTTTTTAATATTCAACAAAAATGTCCCCTTTTAAAGTTACGGTTGAAATTGTAAATGTATAAGAGAAGCAAAGCCGTGGAGAAAAGTTAGTTACATCCTCCTAAAGCAAATACTAGCCTAGATAAGAGTTTATCACTAAATCTAGGAGAATTTCCTGAAGCACACCTTACTACAGGAAATAGAAATTTATCGCAAGTAAAATTACTATTTATGTAGGTAAGAACTCTTGCCTCGTGTTTGGATTCTAACATCATGTTAAATTTTTACTGTTTTTATATCTTACGGATATTCGTTGGTTGTTGGAACGTAATAGCAGTAATAATAATAATAATGTAAATATTATGGTGGTACAATCAAAACTTCGCATATTCTGGCACACATAAAGGCGTGCAAATTTGTCTTAAAAGGAATACATAGAAGTTTTTGTAAAAGACATACATTATAAGTCATAGCATTATAGTCAATTCTTATATTATTTTATCACTACATAATCACATTATTAAAATATATTATGACGTTATCAAATGAATATTTATTATTATGTTTCAAGCAAATAATAATTAATAGAATCTTTTACAAAAATAGCACATTTTTTTAAAACTAGTTAGTAAATTGTTATAAACCTTAAAAAAGTATACCTATACTTTCAAGTTAATTTTACTAATATTAGTTAAAGTAATGTTGTATTTTACCTAACATTCATTAATACCTGGTTAAATCTGAGTACATAAAATAGATTTTATTCTTAAATATTTCAGAGAGGAACAGGATCGAAATCTTGTTGCAATTAAAGGTGGGTTCTCGTTTAGTAATGTTTATTCATGGGACAAGATTCGATACTTGCTTTTATTATACAAGAAATACCTCCGCAAGAAAACATTCAGCCACACACATTGTAATGAACGAAATAAGATACTATATGTATGTAGATGCGAGTTCATAAGATTTTACCTGTAATGTATATATTTGTGATTATTAATTAAATCTTGTTTGTAGTAAAACTAAATATAATAATGTTCGCTATGAAAAGATTATTTCAATTTTTGATAGAGTTTATTGATGACACAGAAATCAACCGCATAATACAATAAACTATATCTACTTAATGAAAACAACGAAACATATTATTTGTATATTGTCTTATCTAAAAGATCTAATTTATTTTCATAGTTACGTAATGATTTCGTCATCTCGTATTTCTATTTATAATCTTATAAGAAACGTAACCCGAGCTTAAAAAACACAGAAAATAAAAAAAGGACTCATAAATTTGCCTCTGATAAAAGTATCAATTAAAACTCATTTTTAACACACCATAAATCCTAGTCCGACTTTTTAATTAGATATATTATATTCAAATTCCATTGAATTAAAATAAGAACGATTTTTCAAATTGGCGGGCATTGGATTCGAAATTCAAATTATTTTGGCACAGAATATGTCACATAGACAACCCCATAAAGGTCAGTGACTTACATTGCCATTTTAATCTGTGGTTTCCTCTCGCGTGTGTCGATAAATAAAATTAAATAAAAATAATTAGCAGTCACCTGTGTTATGTTGGTGCAACACGACATTCTGGTAGTGTTAAAATGCTGGTTTTCTTAATAGCCCATCGACATGTAATCTGTTTTATGCATTTTAATTCCGGTGCAATTTATACACTGCAAATTATTTTAAACCTTTACAATTCCGGAAAAACCTTAAATAAAACGTCCAATTTAGTTTCCAATTCTGACATTATTAAATTGTTAATTTTATTACAACAATTTTACTTACACTGGATGAAAAGCAAATGAATAAAAAAACACATTTCTCTTGTCAGTATTGTCGATAAATTTTTGGCGCGAAGTTAACATTTTCTTTTTGTTATAGTCTATGTGACGTTGCATTGACTGTTTTGACCTTCGCTATTTCAATTTAAGGTCGCAATTTTATCATTAAATTGCCAGCTCTTAAGGGTTATAGTTAATCAACTAAAATACATTTAATTAGCTTCTTAGTTATCAAATTAAATGCGGCTCTATATGTAAAAGTGTAATTATGTGTGTTTTTGCAGATTTTGGCATTACAATCTGCCGTGTCTAGATAACGGATATTATACAATAACTTGTCTTTATAACATTCGATTAGAGTTATCGTAGATGATAAGAATTTGACCGTTAGTGGTCGGGTATAAAGGTGATAATGGCATAGTCATGTTGCATTATTGTTAAACAAATTGACCTAGAGTTGAATTCATATCTCGGCCGGCGTTGTCTTTGCGAAGACGGATTTAGTGTAAGCATTTACGCGATTTTTTTAAATCATTTTGTGTCGTTCATAATATTCAAGTTAATTCTATTTAATTATTGACTAAAATATAGTTAAATAAATTTTTGTGAATTATGTTTGTATGTCGAGTACCTCAAGGTGCGTTAGCCTAATAGGAGTTTTAGAAAGATGGACAACGCGTGCGCAAGTCTTGTTTCTTGGCTGTCAACGATGAATAGTTTTTGTAATCATCAACATCAGAACTTCATCGAACTGAAATCTACCTGTCCTTTTTGCACTCTTTATATATAATATAAGAGATAAGAAAAACGCTGGATATTACTGGTAACGTATATATAATTTACAGAAAGATGATTTCGACTCAACCAGATTCTCTGATCGAGTACCTGATAGTGGAGTACCGATGGCTGATTGCTATCACGATCCTCATGCCCCTCTCCTTCCTATGGAAGATCTGGTCGATGGCAAGGAACTATGTGGTCTTTAAACTCAACACAGCTCCAGGAAACCATGAGAAGAAAGTGAAAGAAGTACAAAAACAAGTGAGTTTCGTTAATTCTTCTTCTACTAAAACTCCAGGTGCTTTTTAAGTCAAATCTGTCATTTCTTTCATCAAAATATTTTATCAATATCTATTGACCAATACTCAACAAAAGAACTTTTATATACTAAATACTTTTGTGTACATAAATAAGCAGGTTACAGTTATCGATTTTTATTAGAATGTGTCGTCCCTTAAATGGTTTTCATTAAACATATTGTACCACAAAGAACGGTTGGGTGGCCGTCGATACACAATCTTATACTATAATAAGTCCTGAGTACATACCTCGTTGTAAATAAAAAATATTTTTTTAGATCACCTCATCAAATTTAATAAAATTAAAAATATGTATTTCAAACACACATATATGTACAATATATATATATATATATATATATATATAATAATCACGCGGCGCTATGTATTATTATGGTACGGCTGGGAAGACTAAATTGATTCGTCCTTGTTTATTGTATATTCCGTAATATAATTATATCCTTTGTCTAGCTCGGTTTGCTTTATATTCTAACATACTATTTAAATAAAAGCACTATTTAGATACAATTTTTTAACACAGACTAATAAAATTTACCAAGAAACCAAAATTATGACGAATAAACAACTATATGTTTATAGCACCTGGCGTAATAAAAAAAATTAAATAACTCTCTCCGTAGTGACTTATCATTTTTAAAATTAAACACCACTACGCGCAAAACTCGTCGAGCGAGTTTGCTTATCTTGCCAAAGCCGCGTACAAATTATTTGAAAAAGTCTATTAGGTATGAGGGTGTGCAATTATTTAATCAATTTCCGTCTAAAATTCGTAATATAAGTGCGTTTAACCAATTCAAAAGGGCATTAAAGATTCATATCAGAATGAGCCTAGTACGTGGGTAACACTGAAAATGTTTAAAATTGGCTAGTTAGAAACATTGCTTATGAAAACTTTTTTTGGATTTAAATTTTAGAACTCTTTGGTAACCTTATATAGTATATTGCATTCATTTGTCATTTGTTTTTGTGAATTGGCGGCAAATGTAAAACTTTTCTTACACATGAAAATGAACCTAACGCGAGAAAATTTTCGGTCAATGATTTATTATGACTTTCGTTGTGGGCTTACTCAACAACAGCTATGATAGGCTGCGAATAGCGTTTCTTAATGAAGCTCCATCTCGGGTCACTATTTACAATTGGTTTAACGAGTTTAAGCGTGGACGTAGCAATCTCAATGATCCGCGTGAGGGACGTCCTTTAACACATGACTACTAAAGATAACATCAGTGCTGTGCGACGCATGATAGAGGAAGCTAAAAGAGTGAGCTATCAGCAGATACGGGCAAGCCTAGGTATTGGTATGGGTCAAGTTCAAAAAATAATACACGAACATTTAGGCGTCAGGAAGCTTTGTACCAGATGGATTCCCCATACTTTAACCGACGACCAGAAAAACCTTCGCATGGACTGGTGGCGCCAAATGTTAGATAAGTTTAACGGCGGTGACTCAAATGCTGTATTTGACATCGTCACAGGTCATGAAAGCTGGATATATTGCTACGAACCCAAAACTAAAGATTCGAGGTATTCGCTTTACGAGCCCTGAAGATGCGGTTAAAGCGTACGAAAATACCATTAAGGAAGAATGGGCCCACTGCTTTTCTCAGTGGTTCCATCGAATGCGACGATGTGTAGAGAGGAACGGAGATTACTTCGAAAAACTATAAAAGTATTGGCAACTTTCTACATAAAGCCGTTTTTCATTTTCTAAACATTTTCAGTGTTACCTAGGTAGACTAAAATAAGGACGGCTGATGGCGACGTGTATCTCGTTCGTATATATTAAGTATCTCATGTAAATAAAAATAAAATTTTTGTAATGAGAAATAAAGTTCTTTAAATATTATTCTTTCAAGATCAAATCCTGGTTAGCCGGAGACCGGAATACCAGATTATGTACTGCTCGACCCACGTGGCAGACAATGTCATTTAGACAGGGTCTCTATAAAAAAACCTTCACGAATATACGCATAGATATGGTTGACATTCTGGAGGTAGACACGAAGAATATGGTATGTACTTCCCTATTATACAGTGTTTACAGTATAGTTGATAAAAATTAACAGGAAAAAAATGTGTAAATTAAGTTTTGTTATTATCTGAGCCCACGACTAAATTAAAAAGAACTGCCCTGCGATTCTGTAACTCACTTTTCGAACTCACACAGCGGTTTTCGCATCGGCGGTCGCTCTCAAATCAGTCGTGAAGCAGTAATTTTATGATTTGGCATTCTGATAAACAATAAACTACAAGCTCCCACCAAATCATAAAATGACTGCTTCACGACTGATTTGAGAGCGACCGCCGATGCGAAAACCGCTGTGTGAGTTCGAAAAGTGAGTTACAGAATCGCAGGGCAGAACGATATCATAATATGAATTAAATATTACGCAATACAAAGTTATATACATACAATATGTTATCAATATATAACAAGATTATTTATTAGATTATTATATTTTTATCGACCTTTAATTAGAGCTAAGGACGGACATTTGATGCACCCAATTGAGCGCCGATTTTTATTGCAATTTTTATGCAACTAAGTCTAATGACAAATTTCGGCAATAATTTTCTGTATTTATTTTGAAATGGGTAGTTGATGTTTCAAACTGGTGGCGGGTGCTGATTGGCGCTGTATTTAAAGCTTCCTTTAGTTGTCACTTACTTATTTTGTTTTTGGCTGATATATTGGATAAGAGAAGAAGTGGCGAGTGTCTCTTAATCCTAAAGCTGTGCGTTCGAATCGCGGCTGTGCTTCTTTGTATATGCACAATTAAAATAGCTTCTAAAGTAAACAAATATAAATTGAGCACACACATAAATCTGCGGTCAAGACTTAGAGGATTGAGAGATTTTTTATTGCAGACGGTACGTTGCGAGCCCTTAGTAACAATGGGCCTGTTATCCAAAACCCTGGAACCACTAGATTTATCTTTGCCTGTTGTACCCGAATTGGACCAGCTGACAGTGGGTGGGCTGGTTATGGGTACAGGAGTGGAATCCTCTTCACATATTCACGGACTCTTCCAGCACATCTGCCTGGAGTATGAACTGGTGTTGGCTGATGGATCGGTTGTCACATGTAGTAAGGTAATGTACTGTTTTATAAGTGTATTGTTTTATAAATCAACTGAAGTCCCACTTCAACATTACAAATGACCCCATCAACAATAGATTTCACCACTTCAATATTAGAAATCGGTAGGTACATACTGATGTGACAAAATATTTGTAACAAATACTTTCACTTGCATTCTATAAAACAACATAAGTGATAGGATTATTATTTATTTATAAGTTTTTAACTTTTTTCTTAAACTTAACTTAGCTTAAAAAATACAAGAAAATATGACGTTACAAATTTTACACACAAATTAGAGTAGACCCAACTATAAGGTATATTATACTAAACCATATATGTATATATACTATATTTTTAGCAAGGAAAAATACACAGGGAAAAATAAAAACTATACAAAAATGTTTTAATGAAATTAATTATCAAGTGGCAACTATATGAATTGTAATTTTTAATTCATAAGGCACTTGTTTATAAATCAATAATGGGCCTCTTTAGAAAAAAAATAATTTAGAATAAATACCAAATTACTAATATTACTATTAATAAAGTTGGACCAAAAATCTGTATTTCAGCTGCTCGGATATAGTTGGTTCTGTTTTGAGTTATGGTTAATTATTAATTAATTTATACTTTAGATGGTTTTCCGTCCATGGACACTCTCCAGTCTCCATGCGATAGCGCTCACGAGTGCGTTGCTGGCCTTTGGTTCAGAACTACTTCAGTGAATGTTTCTTAATATAGAATAAAAAAAGTGAATATTTTTTAGGACAACAACGCAGACTTGTTTTATGCAGTTCCATGGTCCTATGGCACTTTAGGATTTCTGACTTCTGTTACTATTAAAGTCGTTCCTGCGAAAAAGTATGTCTTAGACTAGATAAGTAGGGTTACCCTGTAACTGAGATACCCGTTTTCAATGATTAGCTTAATACGATTCCTAAATTACGAAGTTTTAAAGATAAAATCGAGTTTTGATGTAGTTCTCTAAATATCGCTGAACTTGGAATTACATGGTACGGAAATTGAAATTACAGGGTAAGCCTGCGTGAGTTTGACATTTTTAATAGTTTTACACCCACACTTCTTATGATAGAGGCAATGAATATTATTTTATATTACTTAAATTTCAAAAATTTTGAGGTATTGGCATTAACTTTGCAAGACTTTGACGTGGTGGAAGCGCATGCACGCTTGATAGAGAGTGCTGCGCATCTAAAAGGATTAGATATACTCCTTTATGTCACGTTTAATACGTTTTGACAGATGAGAGTCTTAAACTTAGCGCTTCCCACCCTGATTTACCCTAACTTTTGCCAAATTACGAGATGAAATAATCCCACAATTACTTCTGCAAATAATCTGCGTGATAAATGCGTTTTATTGTAGTTAAATGTATTCTTTTTTAAGTAAATAAGTCAAGATTACTCTGTTTCTATTCAGATACATTCGGCTCGAATACCAGCCTTACACAAATATGCTAGACCTTTCTTCAAAATTTAAAGAAGAAGCATTAAAGCAGGACCCACATCGGTACCTTGAAGCACTCCTCTTTGATAAAAATAGTGGCGTTATCATGACCGGTGATATGGTGGATGAAATTGGAAACGATGGAATGGTAAGAAACATGCAGCGAACTTACGTTACTATTAATTATTTTCTTTAATAATCCATTTATTAATTTTTAATTATTATTACTATGTAGTTTAAAAATATTGTAAATACTGTATATTTGTGTGTTGGAAATACATACAAGTATCAAAAAGGAACAAAAAATACTTAGCTTATACTTTTTAAGCGATCTCTTCCAAGCAATCCTAATAAAAGAAAACAATAATTGAACAGTGTAGTTGTTCGACTTTTATATATTTCTTGTAGGTATATTAGGTTAAGTTTACAAACATTTTATCCCAAAAACGATCACAACCAATCACATCAGAATAACACATAAAATCACCCTTAACAGTTCGGGCTGTTTTGGCGAGCATACCTCTATCGGACCTCAGTTTTCTGATTATATTTGTATATGCTTAAGAATTTGGAACTTATTCAGTGAATACACTACTAGATAAGCTATTATAAATACATTCATTTTATAAGAAAATAAGAAGCAATCTAAAGTTTTTAATTTTTTCTTGTATATTTATTACTTAAAATAACTAAATGGATCTTTTTAAAATGCCTATCGAAACACTGTCACGCCTTGAGGTCGATTATCAGGAAAACTTTAATTCAAACACACGTGAGATTTATTTAAACGTTTGGCTTATTATCTAAGTTTAATTCCACATTAGGCCTGTCCTCTAGGACGGGTATTTGAGCAGAGCAGCACATTTCAAAATGGTCACTCGCGATGCCACTGCTCATGCTACTGATAATGCCATTGTTGAGAGTAATTTGGAAAAAGAGTAAGCTCAGTTCCAACCTACACTGGCGTATATTACACCAAGAAGTATTTAGGGAAGTATTTCCAGCGGCAAAACCAGTATAAGGGCTGAGTAAAAATGTGATTTTAGATAACCAAAGATCCAAGTGCTCTTAGTCAAATATATACTCGAATCATTAACTTTTAGTAATATTACTTTTTCAGTTCAATCCAATCGGACGATGGTACTCTCCCTGGTTCTTCACTCAAGTCGAGAACCACTTAGAAAATTATAAGCTCGGCCAGAAGACGTGTGTTGTTGAATATATTCCGTTACGGGACTATTACCATAGACACACTAGAAGCTTATTTTGGGAACTACAAGTAACGCTTTATTTAGTTTATTTATTTATCAGGTTATAATTGTATTGATACTTAAAAACACGAAATTTAAATAGAAATCTAGATTTGGACTTTAAATAAATTTATATCCAGAGCAAAAGTAAAGCCGACGAAGTACTACGGATTAAAAATCTCTCTTCAGAAACAGTTGCCACAAAAAGCAAAGATATTTAAAGACATTTGTGAAGCAGTATTTCTTCTTCCTAACAGAATTCTTAGGATGATGTCGCTACTTCTCGAATGAAGATCCCGGTCTATCACTCCCTGAGTAATGCCTTCGCAAACATACAGGATACCAAATTTGTTACTCAAATGAGTCACTGAGTTGTAGATCAATAACAGTTATACGTAATAGACTCAATTAAACACTTGTGAAGGCTTCAGCGTTGTTACAAAGGACAATGTTTTTCAGGATATAATTCCTTTCGGCAATAATCCGGTATTTCGTATGTTATTCGGATGGATGATGCCCCCAGAAGTCTCCCTGCTAAAGCTCACTCAGCCGGAAGCAGTTACAAAGCTCTACAACAAAGCTCACGTGATTCAGGATATGTTGGTTCCCGTAGATGTCATGGAGGAAGCAATACAACTGTTTGATAAGGAATTTGAGGTATTTATACGATTTATTACTGACAAGTTTAAAAATAATATTAGTGTACAAATAAAAGTTTTTTATTACATGCAAGCGTATTTTATTTAATATGGGTTAGATTAGGTGACGTTTAATTAAATCTCTAGAGATTTTTTTATGGCTCTGGCACGATTTGTGCATTAGCCAGCGTCAAGTATAGGATTTTTTATAATTCGTCCTTGTCTTTAGAAATTCGACCGTGTCCTCCATGTACGGTTTAAGGCACTCGCCCGGTACCGCACAACACTCCCAAAGGCCGAGAACAAATTTAAATTAAATTAAAACTTGCCCTCGAACCGGGAATCGAACCCGGTACCCCTCACCTAGCTGCCACTTAATAAGACCGCTAGGCTATGAGGCCCCTAATCTCTAGAGTTAGTCGCGGACCTAATAATAATAGACAAGAGAGGAGCTGAGAATTACGATTCTAAATTATTTTCAATACGAACTTCTTATAATAAATATAACGTTTAAATTTTTCAAATTCAACTCTTCTCCCTTAATTATACAGCCATTACTTTTTAAATGTTTTGTGAATTGGGTACTTCTTATTTCTACACGCTTTATATTAGCTTCACCAGTATGTTTGTATGTAACCGAAATGAAATGAAATGAAATGAAATGAAATGAAATGAAATGAAATGAAATGAAATGAAATGAAAGCTGAGCTCGATTTTGTCCTACTTTGAACGATCAGATTTAATTCAAACTTTGCGCACCTGTCAAAGATCGATGACAATGCAATAATCCGAAAAAAAAAATTAACTAAAAAATAAATAATAGTTTAAAAAAACTAGAACACACGCTTTATATAGATAATGAACGCTAATGAAGTATATCCAACTAAGCATGTATACATACAGACAACTTCTCGGCCTTAGCCACTGGGGTTCGCGAGCCAGTCAGTGGTAAGACTGGTCAAGGTCCCTTTAACTTGAAACTTGGAGGAAATCGCCCTTCCTACACAGTTTTAGGGGGAACATTCTGTAGGAGTTGCCATCATTATATCTAACTCTTGTGTTTCTTCTATCGAATGATAGATGCTCTCTTATTAATTAAATTATTCAACAACATAACTATATTAAGATATTTTGCAAATTCTGGATGATAAATTTCATAATAATTTCCAGGTTTACCCCATATGGCTGTGTCCTTTCAAGCTATTCAATAACCCTGGCCAGTTGAAGGTTAATTCTAGTGACTGGCAGATGTTCGTTGATATTGGGGTGTATGGAGTACCTAAAGCGGAAGGATATGAAACTGTAAGTTTTTTTTTTAAATCTGATAACAGGACTCAAAGTTTCAAATGAGATACAATATTATGTATTTTGCTAGAAGCATAAAAGAATTAATCTATATATAGACAATAATATTATAGAATTTCGTAATAATTAATTATAATACGCCATTCACTGTTATTTATAATATGTATTCTATTGTCTTATTTTTTTATATATCTAACTGTAACTAGTTAGTGCGAATAAATTATAAACGTTTTGTAAAAAAAATGTAGCGAATATAAAGATTATATAACCTCAAAACATTTTATTCTCATTCATATTATATACTATTATTATAAATTTTTATTAATTCGCATATTCGAATTGTGAACATGACAACTTTTCGTAATGACGTATTTTTAATTTCTTTAGCACAACATTTTAAAAAATCTTTATCATTGTCATGTTATTGTTTTTTGCAAATCATATTTTTTCTTTATATCTACTATTTTTTTTACAAAATCATTTATTGATTCGCACTAACTATTTATAGTAAGATATATAAAAAAAACAAGCCACAAGAATACAACGAAAAGGGAATGGCGTATTACAATTAATTATTACAAAATAACAGACAATTCTATATTATTATGTCAGACAAAAAGCACTCAAACCTCTCTTAATAGTGTCGGCAGTTTTAATACACATAATTGAAATAACCTAATCAAAGCAAAAATTTGATTGCTATTACCATAATGGGCTATTTGATAAAATTTTAAAAACCATTTCTTATTATTTATTAGTGACTCTAGAACCTACAAAATAATTATTAAAAAAACTAAAAATATACAAAAAAAATATAAAAATTCAAATTAAACATCCATATTTTCAAAATCTTGCCAAAACGCTTCGCAAGATGGCGCACCGGTCCCAATGATCTACCATCTTCACTTCAAAAGTCTCAAGTTTTTTACGTGTTACTTGTCATGCTTAAAATACACATATATTATTTCACTTTATTCAACAGATATCACTCAATATTATCAAGTAGGCTATTGTATAAATACATATAAATTATCATCAATGTTCATCTGAGCCCCAAATTTATTGAGTCCTTTTCCTATAAACATCCGTATTTTAGGTGTCTTCAACACGTCGTATTGAAAGCTTTGTGACCCACCATCGTGGCTTCCAAATGCTATATGCCGATACATTTACAACTGAAAAGGAATTCCGAAATATGTTTGACCACACCCTGTATGACAAGATGAGAAGTTCCCTTCCCCACTGCAAGGAAGCCTTCCCTGATGTATACGGAAAGGTAAATAGGAATGTCAGAAAGTGAATTCTTTCATCGACTTTTATGATATCACATGTGCAATAGTTTGATTTAGGAACTAAAAACACTAGTTAAGTGTCGAGACTAAAGTTTATGACGTTATAAAAAAGTTAAAAAACTAACAATGTGTTTAATTTACTATTACAAATTAATTTTCGCTTCAAAAAAGACAAGCAAGGCAAGAGCAGTGCCAGCCTAGGCTTCAGAGTGCACCAATAGACATTCTGTATTGTTTGACACGTGCTCGTTACGGTGGAGGAAAACACAGTGATGCAAATTCCTACAGAATTGTCTCCCTAGAGCCAACTTAATATAATAACTAAAATAATTTAATTAATACGAGAGCATCTACCATTCTATAGAGGAGACAAAAGAGGTTAACTATAAGAAACTTCAAATACCCCTAAAGTTGTTTTTATCCACTCGCTTTGAGAAGTATTTTCAAATGTTTATTTACTTGCTCATCAGTATTCTTACAGCTACTCATTAAACAATTACATTATACACAAAAGCCAAAAAAGGAATACACATTCAAACATAAACATAAAGCACAGTTAACAATTTTTACCTATTTATACAAAAATATATGTATATTTATAATAATAGAGAGCAGTGTTGGCCTAGTGGCTTCAGCGTGCGACTCTCAGGGATGAGGTCGTAGATTCGATCCCTGGCTGTGCACCAATGGACTTTCTTTCTATGTGCGCATTTAACATTCGCTCGAACGGTGAAGGAAAACCGACATGTCTTAGACCCAAAAAGTCGGCACTGGAGTCTGATCACCTACTTGCGTATTAGATTGAAAAATGATCATGAAACAGATTCAGAAATCTGAGGCCCAGACCTAAAGAGGTTGTAGCGCCACTGATTATTATTATTATATTTATAATAAATTCCAAAATATGCATTAAAAATACATTCAAGTGGTATACAATTTCGATCTTAGGTGTTGTAGGTTTTTGATATTTCAGTAAAATGGTTGGCACAACTGTAAAAACATCGTGAGGAAACCGGCATGCCTTAGGCCCAAAAAGACGTTGTGACAGGCACAGAAGGCCATCTTATTCATTAAAAAAATATATTACGAAATAGATACAAAAATCAAGGCGCAGACTCGGAGTTTTAACGCCACTGATTTTTAATAATTACTGTAAAAGTCTAGATAAAAAACAATTCCGGGTCTGGTACAAGTACGTTACACAGATCCTTTTGTATTGCATAACGTAGCCACTGACACCACTCTATTCTTTATTGTACAAAACTTTGTGGCGTAATACAATTTTCCTACAATTTATATTCAAATTATGGAGGGTTGAAATAGCGGCGATAAATTAAAAAGGCGTAATAACTTAATTCATTATTCGTGACTTGGCGGCGTAAGCTTTAAGACATTCTCTACATTGTGTTTTCGATATCAAGCCGTTTTCCTTTGCTAATAATAAAAACATGTCTACTGAGCATAACCTACAAATTAACAATTGAACTACCAAATACATGCACAGTACACAAAACATTCTGAATTTCAATATCATCATCTAGATTTTTTAAGAGACCGACAACAAACTTCGAGTCAAAGACTTGTCTAGCTCCTAAATTGTGAAATCCCTAGTGGTGGCCTAGTGGCTTCAGCGTGCGATTCTCATCCCTGACGTCGTAGGTTCGATCTGCGGCTGGGCACCAATGGACTTTCTTTCTATGTGCTCATTTAACATTCGCTTGAACGGTGAAGGAAAACATCGTGAGGAAACCGACTTAGACCCAAAAAGTCGACGGCGTGTGTCAGAAACAGAAGGCTGATCGCCTGCTGTCCTATTAGATTGACAAATGATCATGAAACAGATACAGAAATCTGAGACCTAAAAAGGTTGTAGCGCCACTGATTATTTTATTTTTAACCTGCTATACACGTAGGTATATATATTTCTACGCCATAAGTGATTTTACCAATTTTAAAAAACGATTGAGGTTTGAAAATGTGCCACAAATCTTAAGTCAAAGTTTCAAAGTAATCAAAGGTGCTTCACGAAATCACAAATTGTTTTTCCACATAACATGTCCAAGGACTATCTAACGTTATCAACGAATGCGTTTTGACATGCCACCAATGAGCCACAGAGCTTCATAGCCAATTAAAATTTATACAGTTGTTATATTTTTTAATCGACTTCTAGTGTTTTTTTAATGAATTAAAAAGAAAAAAATATGGCCTTTTCTGCAAGAGTTGTCAAAATTGAAATCTTACTAGAAATAATCAGTCGTATTTCCAAGATTAGTAATATTTCTACAAATTAAAATTCTTCAACAAAATTAAAATCCTTTGAAAACCATAAAGAAAGAGTATTTGACGTATAAAATTTTAAATAGTTAACAAATTACAAACATTGAAAAGGGATAAGTTTAAATGTAGAACACGGATACGAGACATTCGATCATTCCTGGCGGAGGCGCTGCTTTTAAAAATAAAAGGGTTGAAAATACAGTCGGCGTCAAAAGTGTTTTGAATCCTCGAATGGGACGCTTTCGTACACACGCACAAATTGGTATTTGTAGGTTGGTAATTATTACTTTAGCTCTTTTCTTTCAAATGGTAATCAAAATGGGCCTGGAAAGTAAGAGTAGCTTGTATTTTTAACTATAATGACGTAACGATAACAACAATATTTTTGATGTTTCTACAAACAGATTACGAAGTTATTGTATGCATCATATGTATTGTATTTTGTAACCATGACTCAAAAGGCACAGGACCACACAGCCTAGACGAATAATAACAGTAAATAAGTATTTTTTTATTCCATATATGTACCTCTTGAAAAAATCTACATACCTTTCAAACGTGAATCCAGTTTTACAATATAACTGCTTGAGAAGCCGCAAAATATTTTCTGTTACAGCATTTTTCGTCGCGTCTGTACCATCGCGTGCGAACAGCACATAAGGCGCTTACACACGCGACTGTGATGTTTAACAGCGCTCTGTATAAAAACTACAAGCAACGATTGATATTGTATACCTACTGTTTCTGCCATACTAATTACGTCGGATTAATTTTTGTGGATTTGAATTAATGGTGTGTTGGCACGGACAGGTGTATTGCTATTATAGTTTTGAGCTCAATATTTGACTTCTATATATAACTATGACTTCTAGATAAAGCGTATTTATATCAGCGCACGCACTTATACGCGTTGCAGACCAAGAGCCCTTTAATTTTCTTTAAGTTGGCTTTATTCAAGCTGACGCAATTTTCCATACGTCTGTAGACCGCAAGACTATGCGCACTAAGCCTATCTGAGCTAACTAACATATGCGAAGCCAAGTACGTTGTGTATGCCGATTCGAGCTACAAAAAAATAATCCCTCGCGTACACACCTTTGCAAAACACTACCTGTATGCAAACTGACTGAGCTTTGGGTTAGCTGTTGGTGTGCTCAAAACGCTATTATTTCTAGTTAATGATTACCTGTTGCTTGGCATAGCTTAGTTTAGCCTTGGCATAGCTTAGTTTCGGTCTGCAAACCGGCTTTATGCTTATCCAAACAACTTGCCCTTTTAATCTTTCTTGAAGAGTTGGGTAATTTAAACAGCGGTAAAGGTCAAAATTAACAATAGACCAAGCGTTTTTATTTCGTATTAAAAAATAAAAAATTAAACTCTTTAAAATTGTGCCTGTATCAAACCATCCAATTAAGATGTAAAATTCTAGAGTTGATAAGATTCCTTACTTAGAGACCTCGTAGGTACTTCATAACTAAAAACCATATCATTATATATATATGATTAGCAGAAAATCAATACTTTACAAACCTTAATCCGCCAGTTTTAAGTCTTCTTTACTGGTATTTAGCTAATGCAGAAAACAATTTTTCATAAATAACAAAGTAAATAATAAGTCGATTGTAAGAAAAATACTGCTCTTTGAACATAAGCTTAGTAACGCATAGATTATAATAATGTTTATAATATTTCTCTAATAATATAAAAACAATAAAAAATAGGATAGGGTTATCGCTAATAAGCGATCTTCCGGCACCTAATATCACATTGCTTATATCAAAAGATCTAAGATCAACAGAGATGCACTAATTGTTCCAAATACACCTACTTGTTTTTAGAATGTTTTTAAATGTTATACGGTACAACACATAAAAATACGCCAAAATATTCCAGTACTTTTTTAGTAGATTTTTTAAAATTTCAAATGAAAAATATATTTTAAATAGGCGATTTTGAAAAATCATTAAAAAAAATATATTCAGTATTCACTACACAGTATTAACTTGTACACTATTTAACTTGCTCTTTGTGTTTTGTTTCTTTTCCCTTTTTAATCAAATAGACATAATGTGTTCTATGTTCGCTATTCTACATACTACTACACTATAAACTGAAAATAGGACTTTTTTGCTCCTACTACTATGCGTTCCCTTACTTCTTATTTTACCAATATATCATATTTTGTGGGTATACAATAAATATACATTTCATCTAGACAATGTTAAATTGTCTTGCTATTTTTAGCTATTTTTATATTTGTAAGCTATTTTTTTAACGGCGTAAATAAAAGAAAATATCGCTCAATCTAATATAATCGCTAATCGCTCAAGAGTCTAAATAAAAATCTATTTCACACGAATAACGAGTTCCTTATCGGTTTGACCGGCTTCCGGCTTATGATTATTTTTAGCAATGGTGGTAATAAGGAATTTATTTTTAGCAAATCAATAAAATTTGCTATTTTTCGATGGCTAGAAAGTTTTAATCAACCTGACAGTTCTGTTTTAGCCGTATGACAGCATTAACACGCATGACATACAACTCCGAATGCTAATAATTATTTTGGGTAATAAAATAACCATGCCTCAGTGGTTAATGGATCTTAGGTTCGATACTGGTGAAACAATATGCATTACGGTAACCGCAGATGGCTGGCTACCTGCCGTAAAATGTATGTAACAGAGCACGATGGGATGTGCCCAATTAGGTACTCAGTTAATAAATGTTT